TCAAGAGTCTTCTCCAGCACCACAGTTCAAAGGCATTCTATTCTATTGTGGTGTCAACATCTTTATCACTTTTTAGTGCTTTTGCAATGCAACTGGCTTGAGAGGAGGGAGGAGGTTGGCATTTTAGTGTAGGAGGATCAAAGTACATCTGGTCCTAGTTTTCATAACTGCCAGTGTTGTTCTCAGTCTGGGAAATAGTTCTCAGAACTAGGTGAACATTAAACAATCTATTGGGAGCCACATATAAAAAAAGGGGGGGGGGAATTAAAGTCACTGTTGGACAAAACCACACCTAAAAGTTGGATAAAGCCAAACTAAAAGTGGGTGGGTCTATCCTTTTGCCTTCTTACTGAGTACTCCTTTTCTCCCCCCCCCCTTCTTCCCAATCATCAGGAGAGCACCAGATCAAAATGATTGTTTGTAGGAAGGCTTTGAAGTTAGACCCAGGACTACATGAAAGTAAATTGTGTGCTTCAAGTTGCTCATCCTTCTCTAGGTCCCAATTCACTGGAAATCTTGGCTGAAAGTTCATTTATGAAGAGATGCAGGAGTGCCAAGATTTTAAGCCATCTGGTGTCAGCTATATAAAAGTTCAAACTGCCAAACAGCACATAGATGAAGGATCTTTGTTATGTTCAGATTCAGGTTCAATGACAACCTCCGAGCCATGAATATCTAGATCCTATACAAAAAGGATGAAGTATTTTAATTACCATTTCCCTTTTGTAAGGGAGTTGCCACTATCATTGCCTTATTCCAAGATGTTTTTGATGCCCCATTCTAGGTGCATTTAATTCTTAATAAAGCTGTGGCAGTTCCATTCCAATATAATGCCAAATAAATAGTGAAAACAACCCATGCATTGAAACAAAATGAAAAGACTTAATCTGAGCTTCCATATTTCTCTCTCTTTTTACCCGTGGAGTGATGGGGAAAAGAAGTTTTCATTCCTAGTATGTAAGAATTAAGGGTTGTCTGATTCTGTTGTAATGTGCTTTGCTGATTATAGAGATGGATCCATAGTTATTTGTTTTATGTTCTACTGACGTTGATGTGATTTCAGATAGCTACATGAACTTCTTTTCTTGCTTTCAATGGACCATAGATACAACCAGTTTAATTCAGATCCAGCTCTACTATTCCAAATCATAGTTTGTTCTTACTTTGTAATTTCATTTGTGGGAAATTTTGGGGCAGGGGGGAGCCAGTTTGGTGTAATGGTTAAGGCATCGGGCCAGAAACTGTGAGACTATAAATTCTTGTCCTGCCTTAGGCATGAAGCCAGCTGGGAGCCCTTGGGCCAGTCACTCCCTCTCAGCCCTAGGAAGGAGGCAATCGCAAGCCACTTCTGAAAATGTTGCCAAGAAAACTGCAGGGACTTTTCCAGGCAGTTGCCAGGAGTCAACACTATTTGTTCTTTGCAATTTCATTTGCAGGAAATTCTAGTTCCTGCATATTAGAATGCTTTATTTTAGATGAAAAAAGCAAGCTATAGTTTATAGCAAATGAATGTACTAAGATACTAGGAGTCTCCAGAGTAAAGATGTATCTACCAATGCATTTGTACTTTCATCCTATCCTCATGGCCGTCAGACCTCTGGGTAAAGATTGCTCTGAGATCTATACTTTTTGATTATTAAAGAGAACAGAACTGGAATTAAAGCAAAAACACCCTAAAATACATTCAGATCACTGACTCAATGAGCATGAAACTGAGCAAACTCAGGGAGGCAGTGAAGGACAGGAAGGCCTGGTGCAATATGGTTCATGGGGTCACGAAGAGTCGGACACGACTTAACGACTGAACAACAACAGACCTATTGTGCAGGATGAAAACAGTTTAGGAAACCTACTCAAGCATAAAGGAGAAAAAAAGTGAAAGATTTAACTTACCTAGGTAGCATGGCTGATAAAAGCTTTTCAGTCTTCTTTTTTTCTGCCAACAACAAGGTTGTTCTTGTTTCAACTACTTCTTCCAGATGATTTGCATATTTTTCCAGTTTATTAACCATGTTGTCCAAGATACTGAAATGGCTTTGGAAGTGTTGAAAAAGTAAATATTGAATGAAACTGTTTTTACAATTCTCTAAAGATGTCATGTAGGAGAATGTGATATTGCTTCTGAGACTCTATTGATTAAAAACCTTTCCACCCTGCATGATTCTTTAAGAATTGAAAATGACCTGATAACCACAGCAGTAATTAATTAAAACTATTGAAAATCTCTGGTAGTTTTAATTAAAATGATTGATACTGGTTTTTTCCCCCAATAGCTTACCAACTCAAAGATCAGATTACAGCTTATAAAATTCATGTTTTATCTATAGGGTTTGCATTTGGTGACTGATTTTTCTTTTTAAAATGGGCAGGTAGATATGCTAAAATGAAACATTATAAGAATTGGTCAATAATTATTAATAATGGATATCTATATATCTATATATATATATCCATCGCTGGGCAGACTCTTTCAGTATTAGAACACAACTGGTTACAAAGCTTCTGAATAATCATTTAAACAAAACAACAGCAAACTCTTGCCTTCTTCTTCACAATTAGCTCCATTTCTTGGTTTGGAGGAGGCCTGCATGTGAGAATGCTAACCAATACATCTTTCATTTATGATGTATTTGATACCTTCATTAAGAAACCAACACTTTTAAAATTTTAAACATCATCGTCATCATCATCATCATCAAATAAACAATAATATCAAACAGATGTACTTTTGCATCAGGAGAAAATTTACCCATCAGGACTGGCTTCTCTTAGTGCTGTCTTTATATCAGGGAATGTTGGCCTCCTTTCTGGATATTCATCCCAACATGCCTTTAAAAGTTCAGTTACCATACTATTACATTTGTCTGTTGAAAGAGAGGGTCGCAGTGGAACAGAAGACCTAGGGTCCTTGATTCTTTTTATTATTTCTGGAATTAATGAACAGTTAGAGCAAGATTTCAAAATATTACACATTTTGCTTTTCATCTAATATTAAACCATACATCATAACTTCATAAACTATAATGGCTGGATTAACACGTTGCATGTGTTAATCCAGCCAACTACCCAAACTGCATTATCACTTAGCACAGGTTTAGGAAGTGCCAATTCTGAGGAGTGGTATTCAAAACTTCAAACCTGGCACTTTCTAAACCTGTGCTAAATCATAATGCAATTTGGTTGGCTTTCATTTACTCCAATTTGTGGATCCAGTTTTGTAGGCCACTTGAATCCATATGCATCAATCCATTCACTGGGAAGATGCCAATGAAATTCAGCGGCAAAACAACTAATTTTCATTGGTGCAATTTCAATTTTCTCTTTCAAAAATAAGCATGAAATGGGAGTGGCATGCTTAAGGTAGGATTTTTAAACCAAAGAAAGAAAGAAAGAAAGAAAGAAAGAAAGAAAGAAAGAAAGAAAGAAAGAAAGAGGCCTCCACTTCCTATAATTTTCAATAATACCATGTGCATCTCATTTTTAGGTGGTTTTTATTATTAAAAAAAAGTCAATCTCCCCTTAAAATAGCTCCAAATTTTGTTGCTGAAATTCAGCACCACAGTGGCCAGATTTGACCAGCATGTTTTCAGATTGTTTTCTAAAGGGGGGAGAGTTGCCTCATAGAAGCATTCCCCTTCCCATTTAAATACAGAAATATAAAGGAAAAAGCCCAGCCCTGAATCCTGGAGCATCCCTGGGAAAAATCATTCAATATGGGACAACACATTTGAGGCTGTGTTTGGGGTCAACACCTTCCATAGAGGCAGAAAGCAGACACATCTGGATAAGAACCACATCAGTATGGGACAAATCTATTTAGTTATTTAATGGATGGTTAGTTGCCTAAGTTCCATAGCAGGCAAAGATTTAAAGAGATTTGCACTTCAGATCATTCTGAAGAAAGAATTGACAGGCTGTGACTTATTAAACAAATTCTAAGACACAGTCTAAAATGAATTGGAGCAAAGAGAATGGTACAGGGCAATAATTTATCAGAAGAAATATGTAGGGAAAGAAATAAAAGACAGAGAGAAGCCCACTTTGAGATACTTGGTGTAGATGAATATTTGGCCTTAAAATGCGGTTGTCCTTATGGAAAAATAGAACTATGTCTAAACTGACTGGTTCAGATAGCATTATCTCAAAGTCTGATACAAGCTTCAGTATAGGAATGTATACCATTTCTTTGAAAATGTTAAACATATTGTGTAGATTAGCTATCAGACATACATGTGTAATACTTCCCAAAGACTTTTAGGCTGCATGGTTTGTAAATTGTGTTTCCACTTCTTCTTCTCCCTCTTCTCCTCCTCCTCTCTTTCTCATGCACACACACACACACACACACACACAGATTATAAATGTGTGTCTGTGTGTCTAAATAAATTTTCCTACCCATAAACGTTGCAGGACAAATGACACAAGTTCTCAAAATAAGGGAAAAAAGAACCTTCTGCACTCCTATTTAGATCTTGAAATGGACCATCTTCATGATTGTATATCAATTCTCTCATAATAATAGCAAAGCTGTAAACATCACCCTTCTGGGTGCCGTGAAATGGATACTCCCCCATCCTAAGCAATTCAGGAGCTGTCCAGTACAGATCTGCAAAAAAAGAAAATAGGATAGATTAATAGGATGGGGACATTTAGGGTTCTTATTTTAAATGCTAATTATATGTGAAACAATCTTTTAATGTTTTTATTATTATGGAAAATTATGAGATAGTTTTGCTTGCCTTTAGGAATAACTCTATAACGTCTTTAGTCTTAAATCCTGTCCTATCTATTTCTGCAATAATCTGCAATTTATTTATACAGTAACTGTAAAGTTGCTGAGTACTGTATTACAACATTTTGTGAAGTAAAAATCTATGGGTACATAAACTGCACATTAGTCCAAACAGTGGATTTGAGCATTTCATATTGGAATTTCTCAGTCACCCAGTTTTCCTTCTGGCATTTTTTACATGCCTATATGAAGCAGCATTGGCTAGTGTCATCCACAGCAGGCAGTTTCTGCTTTCATTACTTTTTACAGTCCTAATAATCAGAGCAAAGTCTAATATTCTATCCCATGGAAGACTGGGTGGGTAGAAGTAATACGTAGTGTTCCATACCATGGAGAATTGAAGGGTGAAATTATGCAACACAGTGATTGAACGCAGCAGGTATCTGCTTACTGCACATGATGACCTCAATATGTTTTTTCAACATCTTTAAACACTGAGATGTTATAAACTAAATGCTTTGATGGGTAATGCTCTTTGGGCTCCAAATTATTTAAGGCTGTTACCAGCATAGTTTGTCTCATCCTCTGTTATTATTCTAGAATTTCTTCCATATTTAAGTTCCCATAAGCCAAAGCCACAGAGCTTAATTTGCATGCGACTGTCTACCAGGCAGTTTGTAGGCTTTAAGTTTCCATGAGACTTCAGAGGGCTGTTGTGGATGAAGAACATACCCTGAAAACAAACATACAGAGTGTACATTTGTGTGAGAGAGAAGGAATCCAGAAATACAAAGATATTACTAACAGAAAAACAGAGCAAAGAAGTTAGCCAGAGCATAATATTCACCATGAACAGCAACAGCAAGATTTCAGCTTTAGATTGCCTTTAACCATAATATACTCAACTATAGTTTTTGGTTATAGATAACTGTTTTGCAGTATCGCCAGCCTAATCATCCTCTATGGTCAGAACCAGAAATAACTATATAGATACTTGTCTAGAAATATGGACTGTGGTTTTCCTATACCTTTTGCAGGTCCCAGGTTTATTAAAAAAACAAAAACAAAAAACACTTAAAATATCCAAAGGGAAAAAACTTTTTCTTTTATTTTCTTTGTTCTTAGAATTAGGATCCAAAGTAAGTATACAGTTAAGTCCCATAGCCATCCTTTCCCATTTATATCTGTGTGTGTGCATGAATGCATCTACACATATATAGACACACAGTAATACTATTTTCACAGCTGCCATACAACGATGACAAGAACAGAGATACTGTGTCCTCTGGTTTTACTTCATATTCAGTTACTATACCAATTACCAGTTTTCAAATTGTCCTTGTAGTACAAAGTGATTTTTCTACTCCATACTCACATTGACTATGTCATAGGCAAAAGAGATTTTGAAAATCCAATCCAGTTCAATATCAGAATGCAACAAAACATCCTAGAAAAAGAATCAGTGCAAAAATCTTATGTATTTTTTTTGGTAGATGGATCCTGGAATTGTTAATTCAGTTTATCCTTAATCCACTCCACGTGTGTTTCCATTCACTGCCTACATACCCTACATGTTTTTAGAGCCTTTTAGAGCATACTCTACATGTCTTGCTTATGTCAGTCCATTATAATATAGTTCAATCAGAATTTCAAAATGTTTACAATGTATGTAAAAACTAAGTGCACAGTCTAATTTATAGTTTTTATGCTTACACACACCATTTTGATGTTGCTCAACTTAGGGCATTAAATCAGAAGTTGACTCTGCTTATCTGAATTTGAGCCTCCACAGCATCCCTGTTTCCAAAGATAGGTCATATCTGAATTGCACCTAAAATCTAGATATTTTATTTATTATATAAAAGTATATATTTATATATTCATTTATATTCTGCATTTTCATAACTGATAATACCAGTGATTACTTTGTTTCATCTTTGATGAGATTACATTTGATTATATTATATTTCTTTATTTCATTTTCATTTTTGATTTATCGTTTCATTTGTTGCAATACACCAGATCCAAATGGATAGACCAATGGTAAGAGTTTTGGACAGCTATTCTGAAAGGATTAGAAATGTGTGGTGATACTCTCCCAGCAACAGAAAGCAAGTACTATTAGGGTTTTCAATTCCAGTTACTCTCCAGATCTCCCTACTCAATTAAAGAAAGATAAAGAAGTAATCCATTGCATTTGAAGATGTTGCAAGTGTGGCAATGACATTGAGCCTCAATTCCTTCTTCCAAGACTTAGAACTGCATGCCTGAACAGGACTTACGTGGCTACATAGTATAAAGCAACATTTTGCTTAATCTTCTTTCCCAGCTAATACTTAGATTGCAAATAATACACGGGTAAAGAGCACACTGTTGATACCCTGATCCAGGAGCGCCATGGTTACACACTGGCCATGTTTGTGCAATAAAGCTGAATATGTGTCAACTGCTTCCCCAGGAAAAAGCATGATCATCAACCAGCAGGGTATGACTGTTGATGTCCCAAAGAGGAGTCACCATTTTCAGTGTCTTCCCAATCACCCTGTGCCACTGCAGAAAGTATGAGGGAATGAGCTTTCCTATGCCTATCCCTTTCTGCCCTTTATTATATAGCTGAGGGATAAGCTAAAAAGTAAAACTGGGAGAGAGACGGGGTGTTTAGAGACTGAGTATTTAGAGGAATCACATTTTCAAGGGTGGCATAGGATTTTGTCCTTGTTCTGCCAGCCAGATGAGGTTTAACCCTCTGTTAATCTTTTGTCTCCATTCATATGGCATAGCTGACATCTATTACCTCACTTTGACCCAGTTATGTATGTCATACAAAAAGGGCCATGATGTTGTATATGGAAAAGAGCTATACTACACCTGATTTTAGCCAAAAGATTGAGAAGCTAAGTATTTCATAATATGGAATATATACAATGGAATATTTCTTAAAGATATTTCTTTAACAATTCTGTATAATTAATCCTTAGCCATTGCTGTTGCATAATGCTTACTTTTAGACTTCCCTTCTTGCAATAATGCATTACGATGCAGATATTTGGAACTTCAGGACATATCCCATAGAAGACCACCAGATTTTCATGTCTCAGTTCTCTCATCTGAAGTAAATAAAGATTGATAAGTGCTTCATCAAGTCTTGATTTCATCTGTATAGATCCTAGCCATGATCTATATCTGAAGCTTGTTGGTGCATAAAGGAAAATGTAAATGTAAATAGTAAGCTGTACATTTTTATGCCTCTATTTCAGAAGACATCAGATATGGGATCAACTTGGGCTGAATGGTCTATTCAAACCAAAACATGATGCTAGTCTGAACACACTGTATCTTTTTTTTAAAGCCCTATATGTATTAGAAATATCTACCAGTTAATGATAGTTATAGTGATTTTTTATAAACGATGTTGGAAAAAAAGTGTTGTGTGAAATTACTATCCATACTTCTTCGTATTGGAAGTGTGAGTTAACCAGCCACAGAAATGGCAAATAAACCCACTTTCTACAGAGGTATGTTTCTAATTTAATATAAGATGCCAAATAGTTTCTATATTATTGGCTCAACAAAAAAAATAGAAGTTCAATAATTTGGGAAGTCAGTCAATCTCGATAGACTTATGACTCTGGTTCTGAATGGGATTGTGTGTTCCTTGAAGGACCAGATTCAGAGCTTCTGATTACTCCTCAGGAGGCCCAGGTAGCACCAGTCATCAAGAACACTTTTTACCAGCTAAGTCTGATACATCTTTCAATATACCAGCTTATCAGTGGTCTTTTCAGCGTTTTGCTGAAATTGTCAGTCATTTTTTAATAATATTTATCCATTTTAACAGAGAAAAGGTTTATTTTAATTCTTTTTTCCCCCAGAGAAGAAGATAATTTGGATGTGAAAATTTTAAACTTGAAGCAATCATAGTAACTGTGCTTAACTAGGCTGGACAATAGAAGAAGTTACTAAAGGAAGTCCTGTTTCCAGAATGCTCCTTTTCTAAGAGGGTCCTGAGCTGAAGGAGACCAGAACTGGTCATTTGAGCAAGAGGAGAAGAAGACATTATAATGTATAAATGCTGCCATAAGCTTATGTAATGTTGCTATTCTTTCTTAGGTTGTCAAATATTTTTCTATCAGAAAAGTGCCTAGGCACATCTAATAAATCAAGGTACAGTGTTTAATCTTGCATGGCTTCATTAAACCTTCAAGCTGTAGGAGTGAATTTCAAAATTAAATCATATAGCAGCAACCTGGGTAGCAATATTTGATTGTGGTAGCAGGTCAGATATTACTAACCCAGGTCACTGCTCTGTGGTTCAATTTTGAAATTCACCTCTAGAACATGAACGTTTAATGAAGTCACAGATTTTCAACAGACAATTTTAAAAAGCTTAAAACAGATATACCATTTGAATCTCTTCAAGAACTGATGGTTTCCAAACCCAGGCATCTGTTTGGTTATCAATGAACTTGACAGCAACAAGAACACCCTGAAACAAAAGCAAAAATGGGCAAACAAAAAGGTAAAAGAAGGAAAGCATTTTTTTTTAACATAGAAGCCATTTTGGAATAGGGGGCACTGTAGGTTCTCATTCTTCCTGAAAGGTCAGTTCCAGAGGGTGCAAGTGGGCAAGTAGAAGTTCCTATTTTGTGGAGTGTCTAAATAAGTTCCTATTTTGTGGAGTGTCTCCTTTATCTACTTCTTCTCAAAAAATATATGAAGGTACTAGGGGAGTCCTATGTTGGCACAAACAATATGCTGATGATGCCCAGCTAGATATCTCATTCCCGGGCTGAACAGGTGATGTTATAGAAGTAATAAC